TCTTCGCACTCCATATATAGACTAACATATTTGCGCTGTTGCCCCCAACCACACTTGGAGTGGGGATTGTCCGTAGGTGGATTTTTGACACGGGTCTTGCCCGTGTTGAGATTGCGCTGGAACCCCCATTCCCTATACTACTCTTCTGGAATCAAGCAAAGTTGCAAAGTGTCAACAATAAAGGTAAATGCATAAACATGTAAATTATTTTCTAACGACAAACAGACAAAATAAACCTACCGCCATTTTCGCAAAATAGATCGTAAACAAATTAATAAAATACAGAAATGTATATAAAAAAAAAATTATTTTCTAACGACAAACAAACAAACAGATGAAATCAACGTACCGCCATTTTCGTAGTATATCGCGGCTTGCCATGGCCATGCGCCATGCTTCGAGATTTTACCGCCAACTATTCTACGAACACGTGACGTGTTCCTTGAGACAATTGTCCCACACGCATAGGCAGAAAGTTTGTTTCTTCCTGTAATAAACAAGAGAAGAAAAATAGTCTGTCATTTATTTCATATTAAACAAATAGTATAAGAACGCCCCTTGCTCTATGGATTGTTTTCTTAAGCCTTATTCAGTCTCTGCCTCCAAAGAAAAATAATTGAATCAAAGGTCAAAAACGGTGACTCTAAGCACGTGAAACAATTTCGTAATCGTGCATGTCCAAATGCACTCAAACTCTTTGAAAAAGAAAATACCGATTCAACGCACCTGACTACGTCGAAACACTCTTTTTTCATAGTAAAACATTTCATTTTGCCCGTGACATATAAAACAACTGAAAGAAAAATATTCGTGAATTTCGCACGAATGTCGTGAGCATTGCACTTCTTAGCCCAAGTAGATACGAGTGTTTTTGTGAACGAAGGTCAAACTAAATATTTGTGAAATTCGTAAATCTCTTTCCAAGATCGAAGTACCAAAAGGTCAAAAGCCAGAGCTGAGATGTTTAACAATGTCCAATTCGCTTCCTCTCGATGGAAACATTAGGGAAAGAATGTCAAATATTTATGCAATATTTTTGGTCATATTTCTCTAACTGAAAAGAAGATATCATTTTTCCAAGATTCTCCACATCATTGACTTAAGCTGGGCCACGTGAGTGATCTTTTCTATAGATAATCACAGAAAAGCTTCAGAAAAAGCGCGAGTTCTTTCATAAATAGGAAAAATGGGAAAAACAAAATCACAAAGGAGCATAGACTTCAAGAAAGCAAAGGATTTTATCTGAATTTACTCTGGGAATATCGGTGTTTTTATGTGATCTATCGACACCCCATGTGGTCTAACCTCCGCGCAACAACTAACACACCACATTGTTATGGATGCTGTAAAATCACATCTCGGGCGGAAATATCCCGTTTTGGTAAACATGCTGGATGCATTACTGATGTTTCGCTTGGCCGAGAATTAACATTCCTCCTTATTTATCTCAATAGGATATATTCCTTACATTTAAGGTACATACACACGCTCGCATATGGCCGCGTGGTAGGTGGGCCAGTTTTTTTTTGAAGAAGCTATTTTTATTATCCTGATTAGGTGTTATCTTTTTAAATAAAGTGCGCGCGCGAGGTAATCACTGCCAAAACCGCACGACAGTGTCAACTGAGAACGTATTTACTAATTTCCCATTTCTCCATTAACGTTGTTACGCATCTTAATCCTGTTAAATAGTGACCGCTTAGTTTTGAAACTTATTCTTCGTTTGCAACCACGTGTATTTTTCTCACGCTAAAGGATTTTTTGGTGCCAATCAAAAAAACAGTCCTTATGACCATATAGAGCTACTTATAATACAAGTCTGAGAAAAGGATTGGAGCATTAGAGAATTTCGAATATTAGTGTAAATGTATTGCGAAAACTCGCTGGATGATATCTAGTATCATCCAACATGGCGGACAATATTTCAAAAAAATATTTAATGACAAAAATTTATCAAATTCACTTCAAACATGTACAAATCTAATATATAAACTTGTATGACACTAAAATTGTTTGATTTGGCAAAAATATCTTTATTTCTTTGACTTTTTAGACACGTAATCAGCGTAAAGTGAGGATTACCGATTAGAAAATAAGATTCGCACAACTTAGAAGCAAAACGATGAAACGATCTGAAATTTTCTACACTTAGTGACATCATAGTTCTCTAAAACATATCAAAGAATCGAGGTTATAGCATCCAGTTTTTTTCTTCCGAGGGGAAGCGGGCGAGCGTGGAGATATGGGCTCGATTCAACTTCAGAAACCTAATATACTTAGGATCGAGGATTAACAAATCAGTATAGTGTGCGCAATGACCAAGAAACAAAGGAAACGGTTGGTTGGTGCGCCGGCCTTTCCTGTCGGATCGCACAGGAGACCTCCTGAAGCGTCATTAACGAGAAGGCATGAATGGCCACATATGCGTGCAAGGGCGTCATTTGTAAAACAAATTACTTGGTTGTCCGATGCTCGTCTCTTTTGTCGTACTGCACCCCACTAGCACACTCGACTGAAAAATGATTTAATAGCCTTCACTAGTCATGTACTCATCCCATCTTTTAGGACTGTTTTCATGGGATCCTTTTGAGTTCACTTCAAAATACTAAATGTATTTGACTCCAGTCATTTGGAAATCAACCCAATTTCCAAAAGTGGTCTCTTAAGAAGCGAATTTCGTGATTAATTATATTCCACGTGCTAACCACGTCTTCCGTGTTACACGAAATATAGATTCAACGTGAGTGACAGCAACAGGTTGTTTGACGTTAGAGATCATTCATTCATTAACCCTTGCCATAGGCTAAGGATGTGGTAGTGCTAACAAGTTCGCGATGACTCACGCTCCTAATGAAACAAGGCATAACACTAACCTTCCCACAAAATAATTTCGATTGATTAATCTTTGTGATCCAATTTGGATTTTAAGGAAGGAAGGAAAAATAGAAGCCCAAACGAGAAATTTGTGCTCGGGCTGTTAGTAGGTTATAACGGCAAATTTTCCGTCATATCCGATACCGACATCTGGTATCACTTTAACGGTGCACGGGTGACTAATGCAACGCCTTCTTCATCTGTGATTGACAGTGACGGACACACACTGCCTGTTATGGGCGATAACTAGTCGTCAATGAAAGAAATCTTTCACTCAGAAGCAAGAAAAATTCCGACAACAAAAATTTAAAAAATCTCCAACAAAAGTAGAAGCAATTTACAAATATATGTAAACTGGAACAAATGTTTCCCATTTCGGTTGCATTTACGAAATGCCTTTTCTTTTTTTTTTTTTTTGTAATCTATAAATAGGAAATCATAGCACTTACTTTTCATCACAAATTCCCTCATGCCGTAAAGATAGTTGGGAAAGCATTCCCTCCCGTCTCCATGGTAACCAGCATTGCACTTGCACTTGAAGGAGCCAATCGAGTTGAGGCACGTGGCCAGGGGATGGCACATGTAACCTTCCGGCGTTTGCACGTCATTGCTTCGAGCACGGTATGACGGATCGTCATATTGCAAACACTCATTCAAGTCTGCGCAGCAAGAGTGAATATGAATGGGTGAGACAAATGTGGTCACGTGACACAGTGGACATAATTTTTTTTCTTTAAACACTACCTCTGCTTTCTCTACTTTTTCATAAAGGAATCATTGTCTTTAGCAACATATGCTATACATAATAGTATCTATTTTGGTCTTTTAGTGTGCAGCAGTTATTATTTTGCCAATTAGACAAGTCAATCATTTCATTGCAATTTCGCCGAAATTCGCTTTTGAAATACAAATATCTTTCTTCCGTGCAAAAACTAACTGCTTTTAATCCTTACCGAAACAACATAAATTTTCAGACGCCAAGATATGCATCCTTGGGAACCCAGGGGTAAAGTTCGGTCGCTCGTTTTTCTGGGAGCGAGAAAGGAGCGACAGAATTTTACCCCTTGGTTTCCGAGGATGCAAGATATGGTACATAGCATGGAAATCCTGAATACACAAACATGTGATCAGTGATGTCACGAGTTACAAGGTGACAAACACAAAGCTGCGGACTTCAATAAGGCATGCAGTTAAACAGGGAGGAGACAGCAATGACGTGGAGATCAGCCAGTTATACCAGTTAATCCGGTTAAGCGATTAGTGCATTGCAAGTCCACCATGGAGAGAACCTAGCAAGTGAACTGAAAAGACTCAACACCATAAAACTATACATATTTATCTACAATTTAGCTACTATTTTCATCTTTGATTTATTTCTTACAGCAGTATAAAGGCTTCCTCTTTGAAAACATATTAGTAAATTAAGTGACTTTAAATCCTATTTTCCTTTTCTCACCGATCGATGCAAAGAGAAATTGGGAATTTGGTAAATTAATAGACTTCTGTCATAAATCCTTATTTCTGAATTGAAAAGTTAAAAAGAGTTAACGTAGAAGCGAACACATGGCGCGAATGCATTACATAAAGGACGCCGACAACATCTGACCACAAGACTATCACTAATCCTATAAACCTAAATAGGCTGAAAGTCGTAATTGGAGCCCATCTACTGTGGCTACGTCCATCGACACCTTGACATCAAACTTTACGCAACTTCAATGAACTTGTAAGAGCTGCTTGTTTTGGCGGGAAAATGAGAAAATGATTCTCGAACTTTAGATGAGGATAGTCAATCACTGCTCAATTGTATGGCACAAGGAATTCAAATAAAGGATAGAGGATCTGTTTGCACACAGATCTCTGGATTTGAAATTCGTCTAGTGACGATCTCGCACGTTATATATCTATACGGATATCATTTAAACCTTATTAGGGTTTTTTCCCCAGCAGACTGATATTATACGATGAGATTGTAATAAACTAGAACTCTTAAAGGGCACCTCAGAGGATTTGTCACGTTCAAATGAAGGTTGATTACCCACTATAGAGGTATACCCTGTTGGCAGCGTCTCCTTTCCAATTTTTTTTTCTCGAGATATGGAACAGTGATAAAACACTGTGAGACTTTGACAAAACACTGTGGGACTTTGACAACTTATCGACAAATAGAGGTCGGCCGCTTAATAGGGGATCGATTCACTGCAAAAAAATCTAAACATCAGTTTTCTTCTTACCTCGACACCGTGGCGATGTACCGCTCCATTTTCCGTTCTCGCAAGTGCGCAGGCGCGATCCAGACACCAGGCGAAATCCAGGATCACAAAAATATTCAACTGTTGCTCCTGAACTGAAATTAGTCCCAACTCGATAGCCACGTTTTATTTCGCCGGGATTCTCACATCCTGCATAAGAAATACACGTACATTAATAGTCAAATTATCTCTAATGAAAGATACCTTACATTTATTATATTTTAAAGTATGAATCAACCTGCATTAAATGCATTTTTGTAAACATACTAAGAATATATTTTTAGTATTTTCACAAAATACTTGCTATAAAGTACTTTGCAAAATTTCAGAAGCCATTTGGTAATTCTTTTCTCTGATATTAAATTTTATTAGTAAATAACCATAAAAAAACTCTCGGGTTAGCAAATAGCTACGAAACTCGTATAAGAGAAAGTCCCCAAAGAGTTCCTGGGGAGAATAGATAAACCAAATCGATGCCATTTTGAATTTCACCAAATCAAGAAAATCATTGTCTCAAGTTTCGGAGCTATGTTTGACCAGCGTGAGCAAATCTGGCAAATCTTCTGATCCTGCTTATACCTCTTTTGAACCATGGCTATGATAAAACCTAGGGAATCAGTTTCGTGAACGTGTTCGGGAACAGGCTAATGAAGTTTTATGTTTGTTATGGCGTTTTTCATTTAAACAATATGAATATCCTATAGAACTAAGGGATACAATTTTTCAATCACTTGAAAAATGAAGTTGATAATGAAGTTATAATCGATATATTCACGACTGACAATATCAGTTAATTAGTCAAAATATACACATCTTTTGTCGGCAAAATGTAATTCAATTATTTTTAATTTCTTCCGGTTGGTCACCCTTAACACTTCATAACTTGATGAAATTTTCACCTCCATTCAAAATAATTTATTCAAAGCCTCCGAAACTTACTGCGAAACATGAGCATACTTGTACTAGGACTTAGTAACCTGCTTCTTTCAGCCTAAAAAGCGTAGCGTAGTTGAAATTTGTTTTCGTGAGTCACGTGACTGATGGAATGCTCACGTCAGGTGGTCAGTGCAGGTCAAGTAGGAAGCCATTTCCTACAGCCTTGCTTCACATGAGTCCGAGTTTTAATTAATCAAAATCACGTAAAAATACTAAAGTAGAACTTAAGACATGTAGTTTGGTAGGGTCCGATAACACCAACCCCTACCATGTCCATTCTTGACTTGGCATACTCCTATTTTATCAAATCTTAAGGCAAGCAACTGATGCGCACGCATCTCTCTAGTGACGTAGACCGATAATGAAGTAGAATCGTTGATGTTTCTTAATGAGTTTTGTTAATTTGGCGCCAAAACGCTGACGCTCTCTCCTAACCTCGGAACTCTCCTTACAGTAATGCGTAACTGTAACTTTTGACATATGAAACAACAGCAGTAACGGGAATAGAGTTTCAACGTGTGGTATCGGCAGAAGCAATAGAAGTAACAGCTTGAGCAGCAGACGATAAATAGTAGAATAATAGACACAGGGTATTTACAACGCAATTCAACAAGAATGATAACTGCTGCATAGTACCATAGTTAAGTACCAGTACTAATACTAGTAGCAGTCAAAAAATAAAATAAAATAAAATAAAATAGATATGACATAAGCTAGAGTAATACGTGGCGAGATAAAAATCCTTTGCTAAATGGAGAAGCAGTAAAGTAGGGAAGGAAAGAAAATAAACAAAAGAAAAAGAGTTGTTTGGAAGCTTCAAAGAAATATAATACGCAGGAGGACTAGGATTTTCCCAGGGGCGTAAAAGATCATCTAGAAAAAATAACAGTTTATAATAAACAAAAAGTTTTTGGAACAAAAACTTAGGAAAGAATTTTAAAAATAACCTTGCAAACAGCATACAGAAATGACACATTCGCTGCTCGTGATGATATGGCTATTAATATGAGAAATAGCTAATGACAAATGAGGGTACCTAGGCAAGACCAAAAGGAGTGACTCTCAATTGTTTACTCAACCAACGTGCAGTGGACGTCGGGTTTTAGATACCTCAACGAAAATATTTTTCTTCAGTCAAAATAAATCTACTTATCAATTCTTTTGTAGCCAGTTTGCTTATAAGCCAGACATCTAAGAAAACCGACAAACCTACGGTGAAGATTTACAGTATTCACTTTGTTAGAGTCCCCAGACAAGGAATCTTCCAAAGGACTCCGTAATTGAAAACAAGGTGAAGACTAGAAGCGCCTTCAAATTAAGAATTTAAAGAATTTTTCATCGTCCGAGTTTTGTAAATTTCGTTGGCCTGGATTTAGAGGAGTCTGTTTGGGAGAAAAGCTCCAGACTCACCTTTGTACATATAAGAAGCCCTTGACATGTATATGTTTAAATGAAAGATGTTATCGCAGAGTATGTGTTCTCGTGTTTCAGCTATTTATATCAAAAACGAGAATAACGACACTACAGCCAGCATGCATTGAGGATATATAGAATATCTTTGATTTCAGTCAGGAAACATGTTTTTTTAGATTGTTAAACTCTTCATTTTTGTCCTTTTTTGCATGTTTGCTTGATCACTTGTTTTCGTTTCTTTGGTCATTTTCATTTATTGTCTAGTTTTTAATTTTCTAGTTGCTTGCATGTTTGTTAGTTTTTAATTTTATTTAATTATTTGAATGTCGTTTTTGTTTGTCTTGCTTATTAAGTGCTTTCATGGCAACCATGGTGTATGGTAAAAAATCTTATTGCTTTTTCTTTTTCGGGAGACGAAGCTCTTTTACTCCCTTTCTTTTCTTTGCTTTCTTCTTTTTTCTTTTTTTCTTTTTTCTTTTTTTCTTTTTCCTTTTTTTTTCCTTTTTCCTTTTTTTTTTTTTGCAAACTCATATCCCACAACATGGTTGCCCTAAAGCCCTTCGTAGGTTTGCCATTCTATTTGTTTGTCTATCACTTGTTTTCTGGACGTGACATGCGCTCTTTTGCTTGTTTTATCGCCCTCTTTCTCCTCCTTTATAATTTTCGAATCAGATTTCATAAATAGCCTTAAAAGTTCCGTCTCTTATAATGGAATACATCCGGAACAACTACATATTCCAACACAATCACTTCCAATGGAAAAATGAGACAATACACAAACTCTCCGCTAAACCAAACAAAAACAGTTAGCTCTCATGATTTCAATAAGGCCCTTGCAAATAACAATAAACAATTGGCGTATTTATTCTAGCAGTTCTCAGACAAACGACGGCTCTTCACCAAACGCGCCACAATTTCTGGATAAATTTTTGGCGCACTTTGGCCAAGCTTTTTTTAGGCAGTAAAAACTTTAATGTAATACATCTATTCTAGAAAGCGATTCTTGGACGGACAGACATTAGATCCCCACTAGGCTCGCCAAATCTTACATCTTTTCATCTTGATCAAAGTTCGCGGTAGACACTAATGACAGCCTTAAAACAGGCTGTTTTGTGGTATAGTCTAAATACGGCGTAAGCTGATGCCATAGCAGAACGTTAAACAAATCTGTTATCACTACAGTCATTTGAGTGAGAGTGCCACCAATGCAGAAGGTAGTAAAAGCGAGAGTCAAGAGCGACGTGTGCTCAAATATTAGCCTCTGTTTAGAACCCAGCACTGTTGCCCGTAAATGTTGCCTAATGCTTACAATAAGCTCCAAAGCCAAGTCCCTCACTCCCCTCCCCTTCGTAAAGAAGCCCACCCAAAGATACACTGAGATACACAAAGTCAAGCCAATATATATCAATACATATATAAGCTCAGGGTTATTTTCAGAGGTTAACACTATCTCTTTTTCTTATTATTTTGCTGAACTCTATAATGTCAGCGAGAGTCAAAGTCAAGGCCGAATAACGTGCAACTCAAGAATGTGTAGCACCCTAGTTGAAGCCTAAGTAAAGCCTTTCTTTTTAGGCGAAACCTCTGATTACATTTCTCGGAAGTTATATACGTGATTATCTAAGATTAGGGATAACCTTTGTTGAATAGTAACGAGGAAGTGCCGGAATTTAAGGGTATTACGAGGTCGCGAGAGAAAATACCCTAGGCTCACCTGATCCTAATCAGGGCAGCGATGTTTTAGCGAAAACAGTCTAAATTTCTACTCTGGAGAATTTTTTTTTTTTCTCTCTTTTCTCCTTTTTTCACTTTTTTGTGCTAAAATATTGCAGTGGAGATCGCTGACCTACAGCATGGCTGTCGTGAAAGCTATTTATACCTGATACATTGTGCTTCATTCTTTTGGAATTGAAAACTAATGGGCAATGTTAATCTTTTTTATGTCATATTAATCGCAATTTAAATAGGATGATACTCGTTAAAAGAAATGAAGAAAAGTGACTTATAATGTATGAGATGGCAATTGTCTTTGACAAACAGATAAAATGATAGAAAAAAAGAATTTGATGGTTTTCAACCATTCCCCAGAGAATTAAATAACAAAAGACACGGCGGCCATGTTGGAGGATATAACAAAAGAATTCATTGACAATTCTTTTGTTAAGTTCCTCCAACATGGCCGCCGTGAAAACCATCAATTAAGGAAAAAAAAGAAAGCCGATGTTTTGTGACACTCCTTGCTTACTGTACGAATGATCAATGATGGGTGTCATGACAGTTAAAGTGCACATGAACCCTTTGACAATACTTTCAGTACTG